TAATCAAGGGTGCTTCAGAAGATAACTTTTGTTAAAGTCGCTGTGAGTCTAAAGGCTTTTATTAGACAGCTACAATATTATGTGATTTTAATAAATTCATGGAATTCTTGAAATTTGTCTCTTAGGGAAATAGTTTACTGTATGTGCATTGAATTGTTAATGACATGTGACAACCATCACTGTCACATGTCTGAATGTAAACACAATAGAACAGATCACCACTGTGATAGATAGAGAGTAATTATCTTGTAAAATAGTGTAAATTTCTTTAGAATTGAACATACATGTAATTATAAATAATAAAAACAAATATATTTGTCTAAGCAAGTATGAATATACCGGAACAGGTGTAATTGTTTGTTGTTATAAAATAGTTATTTTCCACTTACTGGGAGATCTCAAGTTATGAGTGAAATATAATGTAAAAACAGGACAAAAAAAGGTCATAGCGTCATAATGGCATCAAACCATTGTGTAGGACTCTCTTAACTATTTTATGGATTTACATACATAATAATGTGCTATACACATTTCATGATGGTCAATTTTCACGAAGTAAAGATATTTTTTCAAAGCCATTCCTCTCTGAAAAATATTGCACTATGAAAAACATTGCACTATAAAAAACAAACTCAAGTTCAAAATCAAATCATTTGATTTTTGTGGCAGGTGTTCGATCTGCTTTTTTCATACATTACGTAAAGATCTCACAGGGCATGGACAAATCACCTATTCATAATAATATTCTGGATCTACACCCAATGCTATAATGCACATGAGATATTATGTTCAGTATGAACGTTTACTGCATGACAGCCATGCTATACACAATGATAACCTTACACACTACGAGGTGAGACACAACTCATCTTTCATGTGATCGAGATTTATCAATCAACCATAAATAGTCACAAATATAGTCATTTTCACTGAAGTCTTGACATCTAAACAGCTCCTCTATGTTATATTTCGAGCAACTATTAAAACTGTACCCCAAGATCATTCCTATACCTTATGTGAAATATTTGATGGTACCCAATAACCCAATACAAGAAGGATCTCTGATTGCAACTTTCAGTAAAGACCATTTCTTAATTATGTGACAGAAGCCTCCACAGAGAGACAGATTTTTGTAACCTTCTTGTATCAAGAATCATTCAATATAGCTCAGCAATTTCTTTTAAATTACCAAATTATCCGTCTGAAGATTACTTGTGATAGCAATTTATCATCATACATTTTGTAGCAAAGTTGAATGATGATTGGAATAAACCGATCTATAATGGTATTTCAGATACTTCATCTTCTGAAACTTGATTGTACTCAGTCTGCACAGCGCAATCTGAACAGTTCATGTCAGTCACATCCCTTCCGACAGATAAGCACACACTAGCCTGAGGAGAAGTCAGAGTTTGTTTATTCTTAGGTACTGTACTTGAACCCTGCTCGCAGTTCTCGTTTGACTTCTCTAATTCAACTGAAGCTTCCGCAACCACTTCTTCTTTGTACGTATTGTAGAGTAATTGTAAATTTACCATTCCGACAAGACTGTTAGTTCTACTCAGAGCAATAGAGGCCCTTGAAGTTGACCTCACTACGCTGGTGGATTCCTTGTTAGATGTACTGCAAAATTTCCGCTTCAGTCTCCTCAAGGCTGCTTTGAAGTCGTTGTTTTTAAATGAATAGATCCATGGATTCAATGCACTGTTGCAGTAAATAAATAATGCAAAGTAATCATGAAAGAGATATTCGTGCCAGCGAACATCGCTGAAAAATATATCAAACACAAGAGTCACTATAAGAGGTAGCCACGAAAATGAGAAGATCCCCATGATGATGGCGAGTGTTTTAGCGTACTTGGATCCTTTGAATTGCAGACTAAGGTTCTTGTTGATCAGAACTGGATAGACAGCGAGATGAATTGCTGAAATTGCCCGGGATTGCTTTCTAGCGATGCTCATGATGCGATAATAAAAATAACAAATGCTTAAAAAATTGGGAAGAAATATGACACCTAAAAGGAACAAAATACAGTTTTGTTGAATCATGTGAAAAGAACAGATTGGACACTCGGTATACCATCCCATAAGAGGCGATAACCCTAATGCCGTTATTGTGATCCATGATAAAATAATAACAATCACCGATGTATTAACAGTAACCAGTGTGGAATATTTCAATGGTGTAACCAATGCAGAAAACCTATCATAGGCTGTGATCGTCAAGTTAAGCAACGACATGCTACACGCGATGATACAGGGGCAGTAAAATGCCAGGCATAATCCGCTATGACCAGGAAAGACTATTATCTGGTGTTCGACGAAGTAAACTAGCGGCATGGAGAGACCCACGAAAATATCTGATACTGCCAGGTTGCACAAAAAATAATTAGCAGGAATTTGTAAACGTTTAAATTTAACGACACAAGCGATGACTAGAATGTTGCTGCAAACGATTAAAGGAAACATAATGCAGAACACCAAGATGGCGATTATTAGTGAAGCAGTCCGTCTTTCACTATATACAGGTACTATGTCCGTAGCCGAGCAGTTCCAGAAATGCATATTTTATGATCGAGCAGCCATTGGTAGACGAGTGTTGATGGTTACGAACCATTCACTGTGTGATCATTGAAGAACAATTACCATGCGATATAGTTATTTTGCATGAATACTGGGATCGTATAAGAACAAAACAAACTTTATTGAACGCAGATCTAGAAATAGTAAAAGAGTATGTGATCCCGCAGTCTTGTTCTATAAATAGGCGTAGCATAATACCACCATAAGGCGCAGAGAGGATACAATATCACACTTGGTAAGTCCATGGAATGCTGTAAGAAATCAGAATAAACACTTATTAAAAACGTGAGTAACAAGTTGTGGATAAGAGCAGAATGTATTACATAGTGGAAATTACACCCTTTAGTGACCTTATTGATAACATTTGATAAAAATAGTAAATTAACTGTCAAATTATGTAGCAATGCATATTTCACTGTAATCATAGAATTTAGATCTACATGCAACTAAATCCAGAAAGTCTGGTAGTTTGATTGAAAATCTTGGCTAAATTCACAAACTAAGGCAAAAAAAGTTACAGTTAACAAGTCATTGAAAATGACACAGTCCCCGTTAAATTTTTGAAAGTTCTCTTTGTGCTCGTCATATTAAAGCGGAGGAGGTGTCGCGAGCGTATCCTTGACACTTGAGTTCCAAGTGGCGTATACAACAGATTGTTTATTTACATCAAAACACATGTTCCGTGTAGTAGTAATATGGCCAAAAATAAAAACAGCCGTTATTTGGCCATCTTTGATCTGATTATGAAACACACTGATATGTATGATGTATGTGCCAATGCCAATACCAATGAAAATGGTACATAAATTGTGTAAATATAGTAGTAAGGCCAAAAAGTCAGATGGCTGTCAATTGGCCATCCTTGACCAGATTTTGAAACAAATTGTCATGGACATGCATCTTAACATGTATAAAGTACATGTATGTGCCAAATTTGAATGAAAACTGACAGAGCACGTCCAAGATACTGCATAAAAAAACAAACAAGATGCCTGCCAGTCTACCATCTTTGATCTAATTGCGAAATAAATTGTCATGGACATGTATCCTAACATGTATATTCTATGTACCAAGTTTGAATGACAACTGACCAAGCATGTGCAAAATACAACATTTTCAAAAAACAAGATGGCTGCCAGTCGGCCATTTTGAATCGAATCGCTAAGCCACTGCATGTGCATATGTCCCACATAAGGTACTAGGCACATGCAAAGAATGAACGGAATCGGCCCACAGGATTCTGAAATACGACTGTGGACAGATTGACGCAGGAACGGGCGGACACACGAACGGACAGACACAGGAACTCACGGACGGTCGGAGTTATTTATAGGTCAAAATTTTGACCATTCTCACGTCTTTCTCACGTACGTGAGTTGGGCCGGAAATTAGCCATTGTCACGTAATTACTTTTTCGTGCGGGAGTTTGACAGTTTCCGGTCAGTTCTCACGTGCGTGAGAATGGCTGTTTTTAGTGCATTCTCACGTGAAAAGAAACATTGCGTTAGAGTCCGATCTCACATGCGTGAGAATGATTGTTTTTTAGTGCGTTCTCACGTGAAAAAGAAAAATGTGTGAGATCCCTTATAAGGTTTTGCGTCCCAATCTCACGTGCGTGAGAATGATTGTTTTTTAGTGCGTTCTCACGTGAAAAAGAAAAATGCATGAGAACCCAATGTAACGTACGCGAGAATTGTAGTTTTTTGGTGCGTTCTCACGTGAAAAAGAAAAATGCGTGAGATCCCATATAGGGTTTTGCATCCCAATCTCACGTGCGTGAGAATGATTGTTTTTAAGTGCGTTCTCACGTGAGTAAGGAAAATGCGTTAGAGCCCAAACTCACGTGCGTGAGAATGATTGTTTTTTTGTGTGCGTTCTCACGTGAAAAAGAAAAATGCGTGAGATCCCTTATAGGGTTTTGCGTCTCAATCTCACGTGCGTGAGAATGATTGTTTTTTAGTGCGTTCTCAC